GAGAATTTTTGGCACTTTATTTGTCGCTATCGATCGTAGTCCGATCGTAGAAATCAAAACAAAGCTGCAGCCAGCTGAATGACGTAACCAACAAGACTTCAAAATGAATATTAATGAGAGGTTTGTTGCCTAGGGCTACGTTCAGACCTGTGAGATACGACAGGCGTATCTAACGCCGGGCGTGCGTTAATCCATGGCGTAACTAGCGAGATGTCCAGACTGGGCGATTAATGAACGCTAGCGTAAGTATTCGCGCGAAATATTCGTATTCGTAATTCGCGCATTTTATTTTCTGTTTACATCTAGGTTTATTTTGATTGGTCAAATCTTGGCTGAGTTCAAAATCACCGATGCATGACTGTCGTAAATCAGTGGCGTACGCTAATCTGGGGTCTGTTGCTGGATTACCGTATGCCAGTGATTGCGCGATAATACTGGCGTTCGCTACGCCGCGCACAAGTTCACACCACTCGATTAACGTTACGCTAGCGTAAGTCGTTGTGTCTGAACATAGCCTAGGCTGTTTGACCAATCACGTGCTCCGGAGTTTATTTACTTTGGCACGACGTCATCACAAAAGTTTGGGCGCTCGACATTTTTCATTTCTCTGGGATCGAGGACATGCGACACGCCAAAAATAGCCTAGAGGATGAAGCGCCGAGAAAGGATAACCGATTTTTTTGCTTCAAGGCCCGCAACGAAGAAATCACGAAATTTAAGAAGTTTTAAGAAATTCACCCTTGTTTTCACCACATGCTCATGATACTGCCTGGCGGCGGGACCGGTGTACTTTTTCGGGCTAGGCCTAGACCCTAGGTCTAGCGTTGCTAGGTAGGGTAGGGTCGTAGCCTATGAGGCCTATTATTTGTGAACGATTTTATTATTTATTTTGTAATCGAGCTAGCATAGGCCAGGGCCTAGGCTAGCTAGGCTAGCAAGGAAATATACTTGGTAATGTTTTCACGTTTCGTCAGAATTAACTGACATTATTCATAATAATATATTTATTATTTTTTCTCAATATATCTCATTTAAACCAAGACAGTTCTTAAATTATTGTTTATTTTCACTGTGCTAAGTTTTTTTACACTGGTTCTTAAACATTTGTAGCATTATAATTATGTCTGTTATTTTTTTTTCAATATTACCGTGCAAGTATATTTACATAATGGTTCTGTAACTTGTAAATATAATAACATTTTTCCTTGCCCTAATTATATATATTTCCATTGGAACATTTAAGTTATTTTTGTAAAAAAGTAAAATGTAGGGCTGTCAGTTCCTATTGTTTCTTCATTTCTGCAGTAAATAAAATATTATTTGCAATATTTCTCTTTTAAGCAGACCTTTTACATACCTCCATATTTTAATATTGGTATTTAGCGATCTCATAATGTGCAAGGTCTGTGTTTTGTACAGTCACCTAGTGGGTATTGCTAATTTTATCCCAGTTATATTTTTAGAGATAATATTACATAGTAGCATTAAAATGTTAAGCATTGCTTTTTAATAAAAAAAAAAATTTAAAAAAAGTTTGTTTCACAATAAACATTTACGTTCTAAATCCTGTATTGGAAAAAGTAGTCTTCTTAATATCTTATTTTTAAAATTGTGTAAGAAGTATTTAAATATACATGAACATGCATATAAATGACATGTACATGCTTTTAAAATCAGGGGCGGATTTAGGGGGCCGGCCCGGCCTCGGTCCCCCCTTTTGGGAGGTAAGAAAAAGAAGGAAAAAAAAAGAAAAAAATGATAGCCCACAGCGCCTCAAATGTTATTTTGGGGCGTCATTGTTGTCTCGATCGGCCCCCCCCCCCCCACTTTTGAACATCTCTGGATCCGCCCCTGAAAATCGTATAAATGCTCTGGCTTCGGGGGCTTCGCCCCCGGCCCCCACAGGGGATTAGCCCCCTTGACCCCACCCGGGGCCCTTTGGCGGACCCCACGCCCAGAACCCCCCCTAGAAGCATGCTGGCTACGGGCCTGTTTTTATTTAAAAATTTGACATTGCAGTACAAAACTGAATTGAGTCACTTTACAATATTTATAAAATCAATCATTAAAAAAGCACATATAAAAATACATAAAATATACATCCACATACACAATGGTCACAAAATCATTAAGGGTTTTTAACATTAATGTATTTTAATTAAGAAAAAGGAGCAATATTGCGGTATTAACATAATTATTTTTACAAGTTCCGAGAAAAAGATAAGCGAAGTTCACAATATCATAATTGATTTGATCACACCAAGTCATTATTTATTAAAAAAGGTAATGTTGATTATTTAAATCTTTCTGTACGACACTTATACTGTGATAGTTTGTTAGCGTTTCTTAGTTTTTTATTAGTTGCTTCTAAACGGGTTTTTGGAAGGATATCATCCATATTTCCACGGACTGTCCCCCCAAATTTCCGGACGAGATGTAATCGGCGGTCACAGAGTCTCTCCAGATAAAACTGCTCAAGGGCAGCAGTATAAGAGAAGTACTGCCAGCTAAACATTCAGGGTCAATGCTACTCTTGCTACCCAACAGCATAATCACATTCTGTTGTGGTCGGGGAACGAAGGGTAACGGCTATTCAATACATGGAATATGTCTAATGAAGAGTTAAAAATACCACAGAATTGTGGACCAAGTTTCATGAATCACTCGCACCATGTGAAAATTTTCGGATACACAGGCTTAAGTTTCAGAAGTTGAAACAGAAGGAGTTGTTTATTGATAACTACATAACATATACAATAAATCCATTTACAGCATAAGATAACCAATTGGCAGTAAAATGGTATATCAAAAGAAATTGATTAGTTTTAGTGTTATAAAGTCATTTTGCAGTTTGGATTTTTCCATTTAATATGTAATAAAGTGAAAATTAATATCACCATGCATTTGCTTGATTGAAGAAAGGAACCTCATCTATCATTTCAAATATACTTCCTTGTCTTTTAATGAGCAAATACGCCCTCTACGGCGAACAAGTAACTAGCTTCTAATTCACTATAACATTCTGCATATACTTCTATTTGGTCGTCTTTTGGCAAGTATGTATAACCTTTAAAGATATAGGGCCTGTTTCTGCTGGGAAGAAAAAACCAATTAAAAATGGTTTTTTTCAAACAAAAAAAACCAAAAAAAAAAAAAAAAAAAAAAAATAATGATTTTTTTTTCTTTTTTTCTGGCAGTAGAAATGGTACCAGTTCGAAAAAAGCGATTAAAAAAATTGATTAAAAACACGCAATGGATAGCGTGTTTGACCGGTAAATAACAACAGTAAATATCTTAGAAGATGATATTACATGGTGGCAGCAGTGAAAGTAAAATAACAACCTTTGTGCAGTAAAGTGCTTAAAGGAATATTGTGTTTGTTGTGTGTGAACAAAGCAATGATGGCTGATAAACAACCTTTCATGGATTGGAACTCGCCAAATGTGGGAGACATTTTTTGAATGTTCAAGCGCCGCACTGAGTTTATTTTAACGTAAAATATATCGCAGCAGACAAAAAGGATAAACCACCTACTATTGATGGTGGGTGAAGAAGGCTTAAAACATTATGATTCGTGGGGATTAACAGAAGAGGAATAGAATGACCTTGCTGTTATATGGAGAAAATATGAGAAATGGAACCGCAAACCAATTTTCGTGTTTCAAGGATGTATCTCCAAAAATTAAAACAAGAACCGAGTGAGTCAATTGACAATTAAATTTCATGCTGCGAAATGTGCATTTGCCAATGCAGAACGACCTCCAAAAAGAGTTACTAAAAATATTGAATATACCTTAGATGAGGCTATCACGCTTGCAAGAGGACATGAAGCTTCACTTTTGCATCACAAGCAATTTGATGACTTTCAGTCAAATAACCCATCTGCAAAAATTAGCCACATGACCCAAAATAAGCATGATAAATACAAGAAATGTGGGCATATACACCCTCCCCGAGAATGCCCTGCATATGGCACAACGTGTTGGAAATGTGGAAAAAATGAACGATTGGGCAACAATGTGCAGATCAACTAACTATCCTAATCAACATGATCAGGACCATCACAGTCATAACAAAAAGCATTACAAAGCAAAACAAAGGCCTAAATTGAAAAGTCGGGAACTGGAAAATTGAAAAATAGGAGTGGAGTACATGCAGTAATATACGATTCTGATGATGATCTTGATGTGTTAGAACAACATATGGAACAATTGTCATTCAACGTGGTACACATTAACAGTGCCACATCTACTGAGAAATTCACCAAACTGGATATACAGCTACCAGGTATACAAAACGTCAAAGCAGATTTGACAGTAAAAGTCAACACTGGGGCTGAGGGGAATACACTGCCTTGTTCTTGTCTTCCTCGAAGATTAAAGAGTTTACAGAGGCACGTCTTTCGGTTGTAAAATCAATTCCATATCTTTGAAATTAAAAATGAAATTGAAGATGGCTGCTCAGAAGAAGGAATTTGCGATCTCCTTAAGGACGAAGTTGAAGTTGACTTTCATCAGAAGACTATCAGAGAGGTGTCTCCATCATCTTCCCATGATGCTTCAGCTAACACTAATGATCTGAGGTCTCCTAAAATTATTGATATATTCATAAATGATGTGATGCCAATTTACTCTATGTGGAGTGGAATTTTGCTGAATCTGGATAAGCATGCATCAAAATTTGACAACTCAAACAGAAGAAAAATTAAACCTTAAAGATACAAATGCGCCAGTCGAGGGGTTGTTTAAGTCAATTAAGATCAACGTGATGAAAAATATGACATCAAAACGACCAGGATCATTTATTGCAACCCTGAAAGGAACTATAACAGAACAAATTCGAGAGGGATTATTTCGGAATCTTAGGAAATCACGACCTAAACGTGCCAGAAAGAGTGATCAACGATCAGTATCTTTAAGAACATTAGGAATATTATGGCTGAAAAGACGGCATTAAAGGCAATGTCAGGATCAATATAAAGAACAAAATTACATTGCATGACTAAACCATAGTCAACTTTATTTTCATACACTCCTGGCTCCTTTGGAATGATGAAGCTAGGGCTTTCCCCCCACCCTCAAGAGCCCATTATGCATTACACCACTGTACAAAACAGGCCCATAGTGAGCACATAACATCAATACTGTATATCAAAAAATCACAAACTTTTATATATTGTGAAGAAATCTACATTATAGGCAAATATATCCAACAATATTATTTCTGTACACCTCTAAACATCCAAACTTTTGAAAAAAATAATTAACATTTCTTTGAACATATATACAGTGCATATTTATTTGAATCTACCGCTTGGCTTGATCAACGTCGAAGGCGGAATCATCCGTAATGTTAGCACGTGCTGGCAAGATAGATATTTCATTATTAACTTGCTGTGACTTAGCGAGGGCCATCAGAAATCCATAGAACGACACACGCATTGATCCAGCTAATATTTCATCTAGGCATGCATCTGAGGGATGACTAAAAAAACAAAAGAACAAATCATCTATAAATTAATCAATTAAGAAAGAGTGTGAGGAATTTATAAAAGAACAATTAATCTATCAATCAATCAATCAAATGGGGCATGTCACCACAAAATCAGTCCAGTGGGTACAAATCATAATTATCTATTTTTTAGGCTTTTATTAATCTACATTGAAAGAGCTTTAAAATGATAGGTCATTTGTTAAAATTGATCAATTCTACCCAGAGATATTACTGAATATGTAATTGCACTTTATCGGAAATGGAATTACCAAGTTTTAAGATAATCGACTGTAAAGTTAATGATGCGTAAAATATATAGTTCATTCTATATATGAATAGCAACGGTAGACTTCTTGTTGTCCATTTTTATGAAATTTTGAACACATGAAGATAAAACACAAATATATAGCATATCAAAAAACTGTATTTATTACACAACAGCTTCACTCTACCATGACAATGGTTAACCAAGCAAATTTTTTAACAAATTAGACGCATTAATGTTAAAAAAATGTTTCCTCTTGCTACAATATTATGACTCTTAGGCTTTTTTCCCCCGTGTTATCAATGTGCTAAGGATAAAACATCTTTCAGACAAATATAAATGAATAGTGTTTAAGGATTTCAATTAAAATTTGAACACAATATAAATGATAATAAAAGTAATATGAAACTTCGATACACACCAGGAATTTATGATATAAAATAAAAATTGTAAACCATCATAAACTTTTATATTAGTTAAAATACAAACAAATTTAAAGTATTATACTGCTCCTCTTAAAGAAAAAATAAATCAAATTGATATAAATAGCAATAATTGAAGCCTTAGCAATAAGAAGATACAAGCCTAGTCTAAACTATGGTCTCAGAGCTTCTAAAGAACTTGCCTTTACCTTAAAAGTGTCAACTTGCCTTTGTTTCACAATACAGTAATCATTTGTTTATCAGAATAGCACCTTGTCTCCAACATGGTCTGCCCACATTTTTCTAATTGGTCAAAATTTATCTTGTATTGATTTCTGTTAAGTTTTTCACCATTTTGGACTTGGACTATTCATTCTTGACAATGTTCCAATAAAGAATGAAACGTAGAATCTACTATGGCCTCATGTCTGTCATTTTTTGGAGTCACAATTTAATACGTTTAATAAGAACGGAAAAATTATAATTATCAAACGTCAAACCCTGTCGTAAACTTTTATTTAAGACTGATTAGTGGATCCTCTGGTTTCTGTCGTAAACAGTTTACAAAAATTCATTCTTGACCAATTCAAGTATTCCACAGGTGCGTTGCTTTGCCGTCGACTATTTTGTGTTGTTGAATAATTGCTTTTTAAAGAGCAGAAACTCCTTTGATCAAGTTAATGTAATTTAACATGACTATAAACACTTACACGTTTGGGGGATTTGATTCAATACGGCTACCATGGATTCACGGTAACTTGCCAACAAAAGGGCCTCAGCAAATCCGTGCCGTGGTGAGCTTGGGGGTGAGCTTGGGCACCATGGCTTGGGCCGATGCTAAATTTGTGTGCTGAAAGTTGAACCCAACATACATTTATTAACCAGAAGTGAAAAATTTATGTGACCGATAATGCAAGCTTATTAAAGTATGATCTATTTCATGTAAATATATCGTTTCCTGATTTGTTTACGGGACATAAATATATCCACTTACAAAAAAAAAAAAAAAAAGCAAAAAGAGCAAGAATAATAATAATAAAAAAAAAACTACAGTATGTGTTCCGAGTTGGCTAAATAAAGGGTCGGGTTGGAAAGGGCCGAGCTGGAAAGGGATGTGTTGGCATGGGCCAAATTGAGAAGGACCAAGTTTGTGTTTGGGCCACGTTGGTAAATGGATGAAGTTTAGAAAAGGCATGATGTGGAGTTCAAGCGGCCATGCATGATCGAGTGGAGTAGTCGGAAGACCGAGTGGCTTGTTCCCAAATTACCACATTTAATACACTCACTAACATTTATGTCATTAAAAAAAAAAACATGTACGGTTTGCTGCAGGTTGCAGACAAGACACGACACAACACACCACTAAAGACAGGTACAGTAGTTATTTGACGGCGCATTTAGACCTAGGCTAGGCCTAGTTTTCTAGGTAGCCGATCATTTCGGTCGCGCTTCGTTTCGGTCGCGCTTTGTTTCGGTCGCGCTTCGTTTCGGTCGCGGTATATTTCGAACAAATATATGGAGCGCCGAAGGAGTTGCGAAAACGAAAAATTTAATATGCCTAGGCCCTATATATTTTAGTTCGTGAATCGGTTTATCATAGGCCTAAGTATTATCGTTTTGCTATCTTTCCACTAACAAAATATCTTTCTGCTATATTCTCTTTCTTCCATTTACGGTGATATATTCATGATTGCAACATGATCTTGTAATTGAAAAATGGAATTTAGTATATGCTTCATGCTATTCTTTTTGTTGTGTTTTCATATGGTACTATATTTTTTAATAAATGGTCAATAAAATGTGTCCTTGATTTTAATTGAATTGAATATTGTTACCATCTGAAATCTATTTCATAATTTAGTTAAAACAATAATCATTCAATATTTAAACTGATCATTTTATACAATAAATATATTTATTTTTCTTGCAGCTTCCAGAGTTTGAATAAAAAATACCAAGAGAATTGAAGAGAAACACGAAGAAATAAACGAATAATACGCACATTATCATTCACTTGAAAACTTGAATACCCCTGCGCAGTTCATAAATATGAATATATATTTATATACGGTATGATTTTATCATATTGTATATACCTAGAAACCACTACATATACATATATATACGTATATATACATATATATACATATACATATATGTATATATATATAATTTATTTACATTACACATGAAATCATATAACACATATATATTTTGTTATCCATTTATTTTTTTATTTTATAAACATGATCAGCAGCCAGCGCAGACTATTCAAAATTACTGGTTTCATGAAGTAGTTGAACACGCGTGAAGTGGTGAACTGCGCTTCAGCGTACGTGTTTGTACCTAGAAATAGCTAGTCGTCTATTTTAGCATCTGACCTAATTCTGTCTTTGCAATAATGTAACAAAATGGAAATAAAACAAACAAGAAATCATAAACCTTGTGTCATTTTCGCCTTAAGAGTACCATGGCAAAAAATATGTGGAAACAATTATACTCCACTTATGCAACTAAAGAAATAGGCCTCGCAAGTTGAGTGATTTTCTCGGGCTTATGAATATAACAGAAGCATGAAAAGGCTTTTAAAATGTACGGCATGCAATTATCAATGTATTGATAATTTTATATGGAAACTATAAATATGGAAATACATATTTCCTTTACAATATTATTATAACATGATCAGAACATTTATGGTAAATGGAAACGTAACAGACAAGAAAAAAAAACGTATACGAAACTAATCTATTGACTATACTTATTCCATAGATTTTTATTTGATTCAAGCATTAATAAAAATTATATCAATATACATAGCAAGAACCAAAAAAATGTATCTCAAACTCGGTCAACTTCGTAACATCTGCGTTGTTTCTGTAAAAAAAAGAAAAATAGCACCAAGTTATACAGTAATATAGTAACAATAACAAACTTTACTACTAATAAAAATAATTGTTAATAAACTAATGTTACAGTAATTTAAATGACAAATTGGCTGGTTTTTCCAGATACAATGTAAATAAAAAAAATAATATAATAATAATAATAATAATAATATATAACATCATATATTTTAGTATTTATTTTATTTGCTGTATTTGTTATGTAGTAGAATGCGTAGGATTCATAAAACGAAAATAAAAACAATAACAAACTTTAATACTAATAAAAATAATTGTTAATAAACTAATGTTACAATAATTTAAATGACAAATTGGCTATTTTTCCAGATACAATGTAAGTAAATAACAATAATAATAATAATAATAATAACAAAATAATAATATTAATAATAATAATAATAATAATAATATATAACATCATATCATATTTTAGTATTTATTTTATTTGCTGTATTTGTTATGCAGTAGAAAGCTGTTATTTGTTATGCAGTAGAAACAATAACAAACTTTAATACTAATAAAAATAATTGTTAATAAACTAATGTTACAATAATTTAAATGACAAATTGGCTATTTTTCCAGATACAATGTAAGTAAATAACAATAATAATAATAATAATACTTATTAGAAATACAACAAAACATAAATAAAAAAAGTATGATAAACCGATTGACGAACTTGCAATGATAATTAGGCCTAGTTATATTAAATTTAGCGTTTCGAAACTCCATTGGCGCTCCGTATATTTGTTGAGAACAAACCGCAACCGAAATGAAGCGCGACCGAAACGAAGCGCGACCGAAATGATCTGTATTCGTTTTCTACCACCTGGTTGTCTACGAGAGGTTGAAAATGCACACATCACAGGCCAAAGACTCCCTGGTGTATCGTACCATTCTAAAAGGCTTGTTTGTGGATACAAACAAAGAGTACAAATAGAACAAGAGAGCAAAGTCCCGTTCGTAAAAACGTCATGCCTGTGTAGGACGCCAACTAACGGTTGTATATTCTTTTTATTACCCAGTGCAGCGCTGCGCAGCGCGGTAGAAGTACGCCCGCTATAAAC